ATACATCTGCCCATCTGCAACAAGTGGGAATAAAACCCTGAGTACGAGAAGGTACTCAGCTAGACTTACCCGACATAACCGAAAATAAGTGACACCAAGGATTATGAAGGGCTTTATAGTAGGGTAGCTGACTCATTTGCAAAAAGAAGCATTTTTAGCCTTTCAAGAACTTTTCGAAAAGCATTATTGCCAAGTTAATTATTATTAACCTGTCGACTAGATTTGCACCTATACTAGAGTAAACATGTGATTAAGCAGATAATGATAACCAATGATCATTAAACAACTTCCATACTATCATATTCATTATAACTGTCCAAGTGTTCCATAACATTTACTACGATGAAGTAACTCAAGTCAAGTGCTCACTATCCAGGAGCGATGGCGATTCGAATCGATTCCTAACTAGATGGTGATTTATTCCTTACACAAACCTCACTCACCCGCTAAAGTGAGATATTGATCACCGAGTCAACTTTCCAGGAATCTCGAGTTTGCCAGGAACCACATGTACCCGGGGGCCGACCGACTGCACTTTGGTCTTAGCATCCCGCCCCCGTGTCCTACCACACCTGCTCCGGCACAGTGCGTTGCGGGCAATCTACTCGGCCCGAAAAATCTCCCAGCTTCGCGGTCGGAAGGTACTTTATCCGGCCAGCTAAATGTAAGGCATGCGTTCAACATGACTCGAGGCCCAACAACGGTCGGTCCTTAATCGACACAGACGGAAAACACTACAGTCCAAAACTCTGCAAGTCTCCGTCCGGTCTCAACTTCATTTAACACTTAGTTATACCATGACTTCATAGTCATCCAAGCAGATCCAGGTAACCACCTATAGCTCGTAGGTGACAGGAAATCACCTGACTTCTACCGGTCTAAGCCAGCTAAGCATTGACTCGACTGCGGATACCCGGGTAACAAGGATATAGTATAACAAAGGTAGACAAGGTACAATGCAGCAACGGTTGCAAACAACTCCTAGACGTAATGCATCAATTAAAGTAAAGCATTTAATTAAATCATTGTAAACCGGGAGAAAAATGCTCCGGGGCTTGCCTCTCTCGAAGGAGCTCGGACGGTGATCGGGGCACTCCGGAAGTTCCCCAACGTCCTCCTCGTCGGCTTCTGGCACTTCCTGCGGCTACACCTCGAACTGCTCCTCGGGCTCCTCGGGTATGACGACTGGGTTCTCGGTTTGCGATCCTGTATGATGCAATGCGCGTAAGTGATTATGCAAACGGTGCATCGAAGGAGATGAATGCAATGGATATGTTTAAATGCAAGGTAGTCAACATCATCCAAGAAATTATACTACAAGCACATGTCATCTACTGCATTCTCTTCTACTACTAATATGTTTAAGTCAACACACCTTATCAAATGCTTCAAAGATACACCAAAGCTATTATTATTAACTAACCTTGTATTAAAGAGGATTATTTTATTTCCTTTTTAATTAGGGCTACAACAGCAATCTATATTTCTGGTGCTTATAAAAATCTGAGAAAATTACAGTAGCATGGTACTACTCTAATTAGACTACCATCAGATTTTCATGGTGTTTGAATAAGTGGATTAGCCTACACAAAAATAACAAGCTATGACATGATTTTGTACATGAAAATACTTTGTACTGTGAAAAGTGTCAAACCCCAGAGTTAGTATTTTTCCTATGTTCTTCATAGCATACAATGACTGTACAAAAATTATAACATGCATGTTTTATACAAAGTTTGCTCTCTAGCAAAAAATAACAAAAATCAGCTATTTAAGGGACTTGAACTACACCTCAAAATTTTCCCATAGCACATGCATGAAACATATTTTTCCTAGGAAATACATGACATAAGAAGATTAACAAACTGGGAATCATATTTTTCTGCAGACTATAGATTTTTCTACATATTTTTCAATTTATCAGCAATATTCATGATTAAATAAAATTCTACAGCAAAGTATCTCAAAAATAACATGCACAATTTTTCCCAAGTAGATCTGATGATAAGGAACCTAGAAAATTTTGTTTCAACAAATTTGGAGCAAATTTGAGTACCCAAACATTTTTCAAACCATTTCAAATTTCAAATAATAAAGAATAAATGAAAACAATTCATTTAAACGACATCGGGCCAGCCCATTTAAAAATCAGTGGCCCACGTTGCCGTTTCAGGCTGCCCGAAAGCGTTAGGGAGGAGGACGGCCCAGTGAGCGTCGTACTTCATCGCCGCCGCTTTGGCCGGCATTATTTACCGGTCGGGTTGAGGCAGAGGCTCGCCGGAAGTGTCATGCTGGCTGGCGTGGCGCAGCGGCTTCGACCACGAGGGCGTGGCCATCTCCGCCACTGGCAGAGGCGAAGCTAGCGAGCCACGGGATGTCTTGGGAAGACGGCGAAAGCGGTAGGGTAGCTAGGCGAGGTCGGAGAAGAGAAGAAGGAAGACGACTTCCATGGCGGCGAGAAACACGGCGGCGGCGCCATGGCCGTCGGTGGCGGAGGCTCGGGAGGCTCAACTTTGTGTTTCGGAAAGGCGGCGCAAGCGTGAGCGCGACTTGAAGGAGGGCGAGGTGGAGTTGCGGGCGGGAGGAATCGGGGAATGGCGCGGTGGTGCGGGAGCTCAACGCCGGCGGTGCGCGTTGGCGAAGCTCTAAGAAGACGGGCGCAAGGCCGCTTCTTCTTTGTCGCTACCGAGAGAAGCGGGAGTCTGCGAAATGAGGTGCGCAGCGAGGGCAGCAGATGTAAGGCGGAAGACGGGGGCGGCGCAGCCGTGGCTGCTGTGTGGCGGCGTCGCCAGCACAAGGCGGCCACGCGGCGGGCGTCGCCTGACGTGGTCGGGAGCGTGTGCGTGAATGGCGCGGCGCTTGTGGAGAAAAGGCCAACCATGAGGCAGGCCGGGCTGTGCAGCAAGACGGTCTGGGGCAAAGGTGAGCGAGGCCAAGGGCCATGGAAGGCTGGCTGGGCGGCTTTTAGCAGCGGGCAGAAGCGGCGGCGCATCAAGAAGGAGGAAAAAAATCCTTTCCAAATAAAATTTTCAAGGAATTTTTAAATACCATCTTTCAAATATTATTTTGAGCAAGAAAATGACATCTTTTGAAAATGTACCAAAAATGAAAGTTGTTTAGAATTTAATTCTCTACAACTTTGTTTTTATGACCAAAGCCAAATTCTTTCTAGATTTTGAATTGTAACATCATAGTCCACGTTTAGCTCAAAACCCTAATTTTTGGAATTTATTTTTGAAGCCAAATTTTGAATTAATTTGAATACAAACATTGCTCCAAAAATTGAACTAAACATTGCTAGAGGATTTACAATAGTAGCCAAACATGTTTTACTAACCTAGCAAGAGAAAATTGAGGGCAAAACAATTCTTAAGCAGTGTATGCAACATCTGTGTTTCACGATGTTTTCGGATGTTTCAAAGCAATGTTTTAATTGTTATTCACATGATTAGGCATGTATGATTTGGATGCTTGATGATGCATGATATGCGTGATTTGCGATTGCCTAAATGCGGGCATAACACCGGGTGTTATTCTGACCCTCCCCTTATAAAAATCTCGTCCGAGATTTGGGTTCTGAACCATTTGTTATAAAATTCTTCATAAGCTTTTTGTAGATACTCTCCTGTTTTCCAAGTTGCATCTCCTCATTATGATGATCCCACTTGTATCTTGTATGTTTTCACCACACTATTCCGAGTAGCACGTTCTTTAGTGTCTAACACTTGATTTGGTTGCTCACGATACACCAAATCGATTTGAGTTGAATACCTCTAGGTTCTATTCTTTCCTCCTCCGGACACGCAAACATTTCTTGAGATGTGATACATGGAAAACCGGGAAAAGCGGTACTCATTGTTTGGGGTAACTCTAACTTGTAGGCTACTGGGACCTCTTTGTTCCAAGATCTTGTATGGTCCTACTGAATCTCGCGGCAAGCTTTCTTGGATTCCAAACCTTTTCTTCTTCATTGGCGTGACTTTCGAGATAAACATAGTCACCAATTTCAAACATAAGGGGTCTCCTTTTGTGCGCATAGCTTTTACGACGTGATTGGGCGACTTTTATATTCTCATGAATAATATAAACTTTCTTCTCGGCTTCTTCTACAAAGTCAATGTCATAATATCTTCTATCACCGAGGCTCGACCCAATTCAATGGTGTTCTACATTTTTCATCATATAAAGCTTGAATGAGGCCATCTTGATGCTTTCTTGATAATTATTATTATAAGAAAACTCAGCTAATTGGTAACCATGACTCCCATGATCCCTTAGAAGACAATACACGGGCTATTAACATATCCTCCAAAACAAAGATTCACTGCTCACCCCGACCATCCGTCTCGAGGATGATAAGCGATCTTCTTGCGAATCAAGCTAGTTCCTAAGCCTTTGTGTAAATGTTTCCAAAATGAGCCGTGAGTGTGAGCCTCTATCAGATACTATGGTCTTTGGTATACCATGCAACCTCACAATTTCTACGATATATTTCTCGGCATATTGAGGTGGTCGATAATCTGTTTTGACAGGCAAGAAATGAGCGGTCTTGGTAAGACGGTCCACAATTAACCAAATCGAATCATGTCCTTTTTGAGTAGTGGGCAAACCCATGATAAAATCCATGCTTTTTTGAAAGTTTTTTTTTGTTTGTTTTGGAGGAACAAGGAGGATCACAGTGGGGGAAAAAAGGATCGGAGGAGGAAAGAAGAGGCAACCAGTAGGCACCTAGGCGGTTGCGGTGCACATGCAGTCATACACGTGGGATGCAGTTGTTCACCTCGATGACACCTCGTGGCCCACGAATATTGGACCCACATATCATAGATATCAAACTTGACTTCCTGGTCTCTTTGGCTTTTCCCCTTCCAATCCGATCGATCTATAATACTTCTTTCTACTGGTACTCCTCAATCCTCATCACACAGCAAGCGTCCTTCCACCCAATCTGCCGCTGCAAGAATTCCCAATCCCGCCGCAGCCGTTTCTCGGCGTCATCAATGACGCGCTACGGCTCCGCCTCCGCATCCGGCGAGCGCAAGCGTCGTCTGATTCGTTCCCTGGACTACCAGTGCGTGAGCCGCTTTCGTCTCCGTCGGCTCCTCATCTTCCTCTGGCGTTACAGCTACGACGAAGCGTTCGAAGCGTACGAACCCTATGCATCTCTCCTGTCTCCTGTCCCTTTATTGAGATGAATGATTTCGTTTCCACACAATCAAATGTTGTCTTGTTACTTCTCGCTCGGATGATACGATTTCGTAGCTTGACGTTACTATGTTTCCTCCTTGGTCCCTTTCCCCCCCCTCCTCCTTAGGTTTTTGTTCCGTTTCTTTTAGAGGAGGCATTCGTAGTCAATCGACTGAGATCCCCAAAAATTTCCTGAAACCTTTCTCTTCCTTCTTTTTGATCGAGGTTTCGTTGGTTGAATTTGATGCGCGGACTTTTATGCAGGCTGTCCAAGGAGACAACTGTGTACTTCCGCGTGGACCATCTCCAGCATATGGTGCGGCGGGGCTTGTGGTCCGACGCCATCAGATACTTGCTCCGCTTCGTCCCGGCTGTCGATCTGAGCGACGGTGGCAACTTCCTTGCCATCTTCATCAACTTGCTCCGCAGCATCGCTAGATACAAACCGACTGACCCCTCCACCTTCCCTCTATACAATCCGTATGCCCGCCACGAGCTCGATTGTCAAGGTCGCGTCAGGCCCGGCAGTGTCGAGGTCGCTGATATCATCCTGTCTGTGTGCTCCAAGGAAGCCTGGTCTGCCTCTCCATCTCCATCTTTAAGCTGTCTATACTCGTTTACATTCTGTTTGCCCTGCCTAGTCCATAACACTGCATGCATGATGAAGCCTAACATTATTTGGCAACGTTAACGTCAGGGGTTCCATTAACTGGGCACTCGTGAGGCTGAAGGCAGCGGAGATCATTGGGAATTTGTTTACTCAGTTGCCAGAGTTTGATGAGATGCGCCGACTGCCACCCTGCCCTGCCATTGCCAAGCCAGCAAACGTGCTTCCTGTCAGGGCGAGGCATGCCATTTTATTCCAACTCAATTTCACTTTACTTTGAATCCTGGTATCAGCTAGTGTCAGTGACGTGTTGTGTATTCTTGACAGTTCAAGGGGTCACAGCAGATTTCACAAGAAGTTAGGCCGGATTCCAGCAGATGTTCTTGCCCGGTATTTTGTTCCCAAGGAGACAAGCCAACCAGGTCTGTTACCTACAAAATTCTACCCCCTTTAGTGTTCAGGAGGAAAACTAATTACTAGTTGGCGGTTTGCACTTCTTATTGTACTGATGCATTCTACCTAATAAAAATGTTTTACATGACAGGTTTACCACTTGAGCCATTTACAATGATCCGGATGGCAGAGCTTATAGGTAGAACTCTTCTGCATGTTTTTAACTTTCTTGTCTGTGCAACAATGGATCGTTGTGCTAAAGATGCTGTTAGTATATGACCCATGCATGCTATCACAGTTCAAATTCTCATGCCAAGGTTTTATGGCGGCTCCAAATCATTTTGTATGCATAGCACTAATGAGCTCGTGTGGTTTCTTCAGATGAATGTTTGCAAGCTGGAAAATGCCTGGTGATCAATGACAGACATCCCGTTGAGAGTTCTTCCACTGAAGGTTGGTTTACATTTAAACCTCCGTTTTTGCATTAGTTTAGTCAGCTTTACTATTTCGACTTGCTGTCTGGGCTATTTAAAAACTCCACAAATTTTGTTGAAACCTTTTGGTCTACTTTTTTTAAAATTACCTCAAGTGGTTTTTGACATGTCCCTTATCATCCACCTTCAGTCCTTGTTTTCACATAGGATATTTTGTATGTATAGTAGATTACATCTTTCTCAAGTTTACCTCTTTGCTAATATATCTTGTCTCACATTTCTGCATCAACTTCTGCTCACTGATGTTGCTGTAACATTTTTTTGGCTCTTTTATACCAGGACCGGCCTTTATCTGCACTTTGACTGCTTAAATTGCTTATGGTTAGGGTTTAATTATGTGTTTCTTGTCAATATTTGATCTAGTGATACCGACCACCACATTTCAGTTTTAGTAGTCCATCTTTATTATATGCACATGCTTGTATTGCAAAAGGGGGATCAGGCTTGGCCTTTTCCTTGGGCCCTGTATCATTATGCATTGTTGAAAGGGCACTTTGAGCTTCTTTTGCAGGAATTGATCCTTTCGCTCGGGAAGGTTGTTTTACTGACTCGAACAAGCAGCTAATCCCTCTCTCCTTATCTTTATTTGTGATTGTTGTTACTTTTCCACCCCGCTTCTTCTAGAGTGGTCCCTTGTTTGCATTGTGATTCAGATTTGGTATGCATCTAGCTACTGCATGAATCTTGTGTTCTGCAAATGTGAGATTTAGCACCTGAATGCCGTAAAAACTTTCTCAAGACTTTTGTGTTACTGGGAAGCAGCACATGTCAGTGTCTACACCTCTTGATTTCACGTAGGAATGACATTTGTCACCTTTAGTCTCTGGAAGTTCATCAGGAGGTCATATATATGCAATAGAGTTGAGCGCCCTTTTACCTGTACGATTCTTACTACAGAGTTGAGCTTTAGTTACACTTAATAATACTTCTATGCAGGCGCGAAGGATCCAATGGTAACTGAGGCTGCTGTTCCAAGAAACAATCTGATAAGGCCACGAGCAACTGAGCACCAAGAAGTTGATACAAGAAAGATACAGATAATTGGGGAGCATGTTCAAGTAAGTTTTGTGAAATGCTCTTTTTTTTTTCTTGTATGTATCACTGTAACGTTTTCCTGGTCAAGTAGATAACAATGCTGTTTTTAGTTGATTCTTTTCAGTACTATTCCCACATAATAGGTTTTACTAAAATAGTGGTGCACTCTTCATAGAACAATCTGATGATGGAGCCCTGTGATATTTTAGTGTACTCCAATTTAACTGCATGTGTGTATACCAAACTATAGTGCCATTATATAATTTCATCTCAATATACTATGGCAGAATCTGGATTTGATCCAGATAGGAAACATTATTTTAATGCTATGTATATGTCAAGTTATGGATAAAGGGTGCAGTATTAATCGCAGTGTTTCTTCTAAACATTCTTTATACTGTGTGTAGAGTAGTGTAAACTAAACAACTTTTACTTTATGACATGCTCAAGAGGAGGAAGAGGAAGCCTAATACTCCAATTTCCACTGCTACTCTGAGAAGAAGCCCAAGACTGGCCGAAGCTCTAGATGGCCATAAGCCTGAAGCGATTTCAGCCTCAAAAAAGCCTATCTCCAAAAACAAGTCAAGGGCTAGAAAAATCACATTGCAGACTGATCTGTTGGGTAAAATTCTCTCACCTTCACCTTCACAAGCAATTGAGTTTCCTGATCTCTCTGCTATTGCTAAATTCAAAACCCCTGACGCTAAATTCCCTAAAATTCCCATTACTGAAATTCAGAGAATCGCAACTGAGAAGTGCTGCATCGCTCCTTCAGAGGTGACAGCCGAACTACTTCTTGCTTCAAGACCAGATGAAGCAAGCTCGAGCAGTAGTAGTTCAATGGAGCTCCAATTAGTTTCCAATGATTCGTTGCACTTTTAGCCTTTTATTTTAGCAGGGTATGCCCTGCGTGGAACTGCTGTATTATGGGGATTGGTTTTGAACCCTGCCAGACTACCTTTTGAAAAACTTATGGCCTTCGCACTTTTCTGGGAAGGGTTCTTTGATGTTTAGTTGGACAAAGATTAATCTCTTATGTTAAGGCTGTTTGGGCCCTTTCTTTGGCTGTGATTTTCTTGGGTTCAGGTTTATCTGGTGTCTCTCTTTTCTCTGCTGGCTGTCAAGTTGTGGAATCATGATTGCTCCCATGGATGACAATGATAGGAATGACAACAATAACAGTAACAACAGTACATCTAACAGAAGCAGGAACATCCTGAATTGGAACATTAGGGGCATAAATTCTGATGCTTAAGTGTAATGCAGTCAAAAAAAATGAGGAAAGTGATTATGCAATCTTTTGTATTCAAGAGACAAAAAGGCAAACTTTTGATCACTCCTACATTAAGAATTTTGCTAAGTGATTTAATAAATTTGCTTTCTCTCCATCTGATGGGGCTTCGGGATGGTTTCTCTGGTGAAGTGGTTCAAACTAATAAGTTTGCTGTCACAGTGAAGTTCACTTCAACTCATAACAGTCAAGTCTGGATTCTCTCTACCATATATGGCCCTTGCAATGGTCCAGACAGGGATGGTTTTGTTAATTGGCTCAACAATCTGCATATTGAGGCAGAGGACATATGGATGTTTGCAGGGGACTTTAACTTCTATAGATCTGTCACAGATAGAAATAAAGATGGAGGTAATATGCATGACATCATGATTTTCAATAAGATCATTAGTAATCTGGGCTTGCTGGAAATTCCCCTTAAAGGAAGAGGTTTCACATGGAGTAACATGCAAAGTGATCCTCTCCTAGAACAAATTGATTAGGTCTTCACATCTTCTAATTGGATTAGTCTTTTTCCCAACACTCTTCTTCTCCCAATGGGCAGGCTAACCTCCGATCATATTCCTTGCAAAATTCAGATTGGAACTTCAATTCCTAAAGCCCAAATTTTCAGATTTGAGAATTTTTGGGTAGAACATCCTGGTTTCTTTGACCTTGTCCAATCTGTTTGGAGCACAAATGTTAGCTCCCACAACAGTGCATCGAGAATCACAGCTAAATCAAACTTTTGAGAGCAGCTCTGAAAAAAATGTAGCAAAGGACTATCAAATCTTAAAAACTGGATAAAGAACTGCAACACTTTTTTGGAATCCTCGATGCTTTAGAGGAGCAACGAACTCTGTTTATTCAGGAGTTCAACTTCAAAAGAACCTTAAGAGATCACATCACCAGATTACTTAGATACAAGAAGGAACACTGGAAGAAAAAAGATACACTATCAGATGGACCAAATTTGGTGATGAGAGCACTAGCTGTTTTCATGCTGCTGCCACTGAAAGGTATAGGTTAAATACTATCACTTCCCTTGAAACTGAAGATGGCAGGACAGTGACTGATTACAGTGGAAAAGCTGCCTTGCTCCTTGAGGAATACAAACAAAGAATGAGATGTTCTTCCAGCCCCACAATGTACTATGACCTAAATCAACTGGTTGATTCTAGAGAAGTACTAGAATTTTTGTCAAGACCCTTCAGCACCACTGAGATGGATTTAGTAATCAAGCAAATGCCTGCTGATAAGGCGGCTGGGCCACATGGATTTAATGGATATTTCCTCTAGAGCTGCTGGGATATAATTGAAGAGGATTTTTACACACTTTGCTTCGACTTCTTCAATAGCACACTGGATCTGCAGGCCATAAACAGTTCTTCATCACCTTGATTCCAAAAGTCAACAATCCAGTGGGTGTCAATGACTTCAGGCCCATTTTCTTGCTAAACTTGCTCTCAAGTTAATAAAAAAACTGATGGTGATACGGCACCGGCGATGTGGTGAAAGTAGGGGAGAGTGGAGAAGGAGACTGGACTGGGAGTTGGAACGCAGAGGATAGCGAGGAACCTCGGCGGTGGGTTCTTCTCCAGTGGTCGCGGCTAAAGCGCTCGACGCCACCGTCGAAGGGAAACTCCCACCCCGGTACAGTGAGAGTTTATTCCTTCTTCGATAAGTCTTGATTACAATCTAAATGCCCCTTTATAGAATAGAGACATATCTCCTAACAACTGAACCAAATCTCCTAAAATCTCTCCCTGACCCTTACTTTCCTAACAAACCAGGCCTTAGCCACGGTTGGACTCACGTGGACGCCCAGGCCGGTGCCTATACTGGCGGCCAACGAAGGAGTCCACAACAGATGGCCAACAGGCTCCAAACAAAGATCATCTCTCTCATACATGTCAACCAATATGGTTTCATCAAATCGAGAACCATTCAAGACTGTCTCGCTTGGGCATATGAATACATTTACCAATGTCTACACTCCAAGAAAGAAATTGCTATAAGTGGTGTGACTGGTCTCAAAGAATTCTTGCTTCAGGATTGGCCATTCTCCTCTATGGTGTGCCAGGGAAACAGGGTGACCCACTCTCTCCTCTCCTATTCGTGCTGGCTGCAGATTTGCTTTAGTGCATCATCAATAAATTGACGACACAATTCTGATCATGAAAGCATCTCAGATGGAGCTCTTCACCCTGAAAGGTTTACTTGAATCCTTTGCTCAATCAACAGGCCTGAGAGTTAAAATCCTGTCTGGTAGCTCTGAACATTACTCCAGACAAGGCAGTTCAACTTGCTGGAGTCTTTGGTTGCAAGCTTGAATCTCTTCCTTTCACCTATCTCGGCTTGCCCTTGGGCACCACCAAACCTAGAGTGGAACATTTTGGGTTCATCATGAACAAAACTGAGAGAGACTCACTGCAACTTCCTATTCTTTGACTCATGCTGGAAGACTTCAACTCGTCAACTCAGTTCTTTCTTTCCTCCCAACATATGCCATGTGTACCTTAGAGTGCCTTCAACTGTCCTAGAATTTATTGACAGAGCCAATGACATTGTCTTTGGAGAGGGTCTGACAGTAATGCAAAGATGAAACCGTTGGTTGCCTGGAAATAAGTGTTGCAAACCAAAGGAAAAAGGTGGACTTGGTATCATTAATCTCAGAAGCCAGAACACTGCCCTCCTCCTTAAGCATCTTGATAAGTTTTACAACAGAAAGGAAATTCCTTGGGTCAAACTGATCTAGCACTCTTACTACTCCAATGGCGAAATCCCTCATGTGGCTACTGATTGGGGATCCTTTTGGTGGAGGGATATACTAAAGCTCTGTGATTTCTTTAGGGGCATAGTTAATTGCTCTATTTGGTGATGGGTCTACTGTGTTGTTCTGGTCTGACCTATGGAATGGTAATATCTTGCAGATCAAGTACCCTAGATTATATACATAACAACAACATGGAAGTACAATTTCACCTGCCTCTTTCAGAACAAGCTTTTCAAGAGTTTCAAAATCTCCAATCCTTTATTCAATCAATTCAGGTGCAGCAGGGTACAAAAGATACTTGGAGCTTCATTTGGGGAAATAATATCTATGCCACCTTCAAGTTCTACAACCTTCCATACAAGAATGTTCAGCCACCAGCTCCTTTTACATGGATTTGGAATTCTAAATGCTCAAACAAGCTAAGAGTTTTCTCTTGGCTTCTTCTCATGCATAGGCTGAATACAAGGAAGATTCTAAAAAGAAAAAAAATTTACAAGATTGAAGGAAACAACTACAATTGTGTTCTCTGTAATGGCAATATGGAGGAAACTACCTTCCACCTTTTTCTTTAGCTGCCCCTTTAGTAAAGCTTGCTGGGAACACCTGGGTATTCAGTGGCATTCTTCGGTTGGCTTCTTCCAGAAGATGATACAAGCAAAGCAAAACTTCTCGAATCCCTTCTTCATGGAGATTTTTTTTATCATCGCTGCATGCCTACATGGAATATTTGTAAGCAAAGAAACAACTTCATCTTTGATAGAGGTCGCCCATCCTTTGCCTCATGGAAGCTCAATGTCAGAGAAGAAGCAAGACTCCAAGCTCATAGACTGTGTGCTGCAAAGAAACCCTTCTTCTTAATCCTTGTAGACTCTCTTGCTTAGCTCCAGTGCCCTCCTCAGGCTAGCTGGACCCTGTTGTGTTGTTTGTACAATTTTTATCTTCTTGTACAGCTCTCTTTCTTTAAATATATATATAATACAAAAATTTACAGTGGGGGTTCTCCCTTGCTGTTTTCCCGGGTCAAATAAAAAAAACATGCTCAAGAGGATTAGTTTAGCAAATAAAAGGCATTTCTATACCAGAAAGGCCATTTTCAGATTTTAACTTCATGTTGTGGTGTCTGGTGTGCACCAATTTTACCTAGTTTGGTAGTGATATAAACTAACAGTTTTATTTTTCCTGACTGTAACTCAGCATTCAGACTTTGAAGCTTACTGTTCACTGGAAGATGGGAGAGTAGATGTGGGAAGCGACATGAAAAGGTTACATTACTTTTCACTATCCTCAAGAATGAACCACTAGTTGCACTGTTTCTTTTGTTGGACTGCAGTACTGTGTGATTGGGATCCCTGATGGGTTGTACCGTTGTAGGTTAGCATTAACCATCATATCCTCTTCATTGAAGACTTCTCTTTGGATAAGTTTTGGTGCCCTACTTTATTGTAAGAATGCTAGGAATTACTTGATTTGAAAGAAGCCATTTAGCCGTCTCTATGTGTTGCCCCTGCAAATCCACAGTGCCAGGTATTTTGGAATTGCAGTCTATTACTGGATTACTGCTAGTTTTAATTGTAGTATCTCACAGCATGTAGCAGCTGTGTATAATAACAGTAGTGCTGGTCCTTTTCATTTTTTTAACACGGGAATACTGTAAGATGTACTGATTTTGATTATTTCTTTGCAGCTTGAGTGCACACAATGGTCAGTGCAGCTCACCAACTGAAATCCTGAGTTCATGAGTGGCTGGCAGCTTTGCTTGCTAATTGATACTTCTGAGCGAAGTGAAGTTCATTGCCCAGTTAGTGACGCTGCGAGACAGGAGATTATTGTGTTTGG